AAATGTTCCCTGGAGTGCATCTAGTTCCTGCTTACAGCTCCAAACGGATACTCAAGGCAGGGCTGCACCATGAGAACGGCAACCATGGCCAGGGGGCATGGGGAGGAGAAAGCCCTTGAGATGGTTGGTAGCAAGACCTTATACTGCAACAGGTAGAATAACATGTCCCAGGGAAAGCAACCACCATCTCTTGTCCTGGAAGCAGCAAGTTGGCATGACACGGCTATGCACATCCTGCTAACAGCTTGACCCAGCCAGCCTGGGCAGACACCTCCATTCCCTGACCACAGGGGTGGCCCTACCTCTGTCATCCTGCCAGGCCACAGGCTGCCCCTGGTAGCTCCAATAAGCATAGTCGTCTCCATAGCTGGGGGCTGCATAGTTCCAGTGGGGGTCTTCATATCCTTGCCTGAAACACAATATACATAGCTGAGAAAAAAACTGCACCAGAGTCATATTCACGATGGGCATCACGGGACCAGCAGAGATAGCCAGCACAAAGGCCCAGCCCAGATCCTCCAAGGGCCACAGTTCACATCCGCTCAGCACCCAGGTGAAGGTCCCTGGGGCAAGGGATGAGGCCTGGGAGCACGTCCGGGCTTAGATTTGCACCCTGGACAGGGACTGTTGAAGGCAGAAGGGGTAACGGAAATAGGACGCAGGGTCAGGAGCAAATCCAGCATCACACAGGGAGGAGAGGGAGAAGAGGTGGGAGATTTGGATGCGTTCCCTTCCCTGTCACTGAGAAAGAGTTGTGCTCTGCAGTTTCAGAAGCCGTCCAATTTCAGATGCCGGGAAACTCTGCTCAATCACCTCAGGTATTGAGTTGTTAGAGATGAGTTTTCACGGACGCTTTAGGAGAGGCCTCCAAAAGGCACCTTTCCTGCCAACCTCTGAAGCTGCTGCATCTCCTGCAAGCCTCAGCACCCGTCTCTTCCTGTGCTGGAGCCCTGCCAGAGCATAAGCCCAATACACATGCACCTTAACCCTTCACAATTTACACAGTAATTCAGTTAGTCCTGCGTAATACCTAGCCGCCTTGGCCAAGCATTTCACAACCTCAGCAGAAAACCTTGCGTTATCCGTGCAGTTCTCCTTACAACTCTCAGAGGGCAATAACTCAGGCAAATCAACCCAGATTTGCTGGAGTATTCGAAGCTTTTTCTCCTCACTGAGACAGCGCCTCGGTCCCACATTTTATCCTTCCGTCCTCTGCTGTTTCAGCAGCTGAGCTGCTGAGGTTGCAAGCTCCCTTTTATTCCTATATTATCATTTATATTTTTATTGTTCACCTTGCACTTGAAGAACTCTAATCAAACTTTCAAGAAAAAGACACCTTGGGACAGAGCTGGAGCCTGCAGAGCAGCTACTGCCGAAGTCACAACTGTAAAGAAGAAATCAGAGCGGCGACTGTTCGGCAGCCTCCAACGCGGGAGCCAACACCTCCCCGCTCGAGCGGCTGAACAACGATCAGGCGTTGCCTTCCTGAGTCTGCAGCCAGCCGCGCTCAGCGCCGCCGTGGCTGCTCGCTGCTGTCCCTAGGCAGGTAGCACAGATCGGCGTCCTCGGTCCAACGCGGTGAGAGCGGCGACACGGCCACATCTCACCGTAAGGTCACAAGGAAGACCGGAGGTCAAGGCGAGCCTTGGCCAGCGTTGCGCGGATCTTACCTAGAGTACGGCCTGCTGGAGTAACTGCTTTCGTAGTACTCGGCCCTGGAAGCAGGTCTGCGCCTGTCCCTCCGCGGGTGGCGGTGCTCATCCCAGGCATCCGGCCCCCCTCGCAGAGCTTGTCGCTGGGGGGGAGGCGCGTGGCCCCGGCTCTGGCCCTCCGTCCGGGCTGCGCGCCTCTGCCGGGGCTGGAGGGACCACGGCGGCGCCCGGGCATCCCTCGCAGACTTGCCCGGGAGATCCTCTGCGCCTGGGGGCTGTTGGCTTCTGTAACTCCAGGACAGCGTTAACGCCCTGCGAACAACCAGACGAACCACAACGCATGGGAGCGGCGACTTTCCCCGAAAGCCCCCCCTTTAAGATGACTATCGCCATCTCCTCACTTTCGTGAGCCTGCTGGAAATTCATCCGCTGCCCTTTGGTTCCCGAATGCCCAGACCCGAGCAAGGAAAAGCATTTCCCGATTTGCCTGAGTGAACCTGAAACTCTTCCCGAAGCAGGTGACGTTTTAAGGCGTCAGGACACAGCGGTCCGTCGCAGAGAGCAAAAGAGGGCTAGCTTCGCTTGCCAGTGAAAGCGATCTTCTAAACACCAGCCAACCAACGGCTGGCTGCGGGCTCAGGAAGACGGCCTCGCCGCGCACCGCTGCTTCAGCTCGCTGCCTTCCTAAGCGGGCGACAAATCGGTTTTACTTCTGCTACACGCCAGGGAAACTATCAAGTTTTGTGTTTGCCAGAGGAAGAGAGATTGGGCAGCTAGGAGCGGCGCGAAGAGAGCCATTCTCCGAGAAGGGGCAGGAGGAGGGAGAAACGGAGCGGAGCCCACGCAAGCGGCGAGCCTGCTGGGTGAGGAAGAAGCACGAGGGGTTTTTTTGCTACTTTCCAGCTACAGCAAAACTAAAACCGCCTGCTTTCGGTGGCATCGCCCAGAAGAGGGAACCCAAAGAAGAGCCCGGGGCGATCCCAGCGCCCCGCGCTGCCGGGGCCGGTTTCTTTTTAACCCACTTCGCCCCTTCCGCGCTCAAAGCGACGCGTGCACGCGTGTCCCCGCGGCGTTTCGGGGCCGAGGGCCAGTTCTCGGCGGCGGG